TCTCTCTCTCTCTCTCTCTGTCTGTCTCTCTGTTTCTGTCTCATTGACAAACTGTTTTAATCTTAGTGCCTTGTTTCTGTTTTTTATCTCTCTCTCTTTACATCACTCTCTTCCTCACCCCCTCCCCCTCCCCCTGTCCTTCTGTCCCTCTCTCAACCCCTCCCTCCCCTCTCCCTATCTCCATCCCTCTCCCTACTGCTTCCTCTGGTTGTTTCTTCTTTGCAGGCAGCCCAGGCTGAGCAGCTGCAGCGGGCCGCCTCCTGCGATGTCCTGTTAGCGTCAGCCTCAGCAGCGGCTTCAGCAGCAGAGGTAAGAGGAGGAGGCTGGGAAAAGGAGGAGGGGGAGGAAGAGGAGGATGGCACAGGGATGGAGCTCACCCAGCTCCTCGACAGAATCAGAACCCAGTGTGACCATAACAGACTTCCCAGCCCAGGGGAGAGACACCATGACCTGCGGGCTGTCTCCGGTCTGCCTCAAGCTGTGCTCCGGCCTAGTCACCCAGGAGCTGCAGCATCATCAGCATCAGCATCCGCAGCAGCAGCAGCAGCAGCAGCACACAGAGGAGCTCTCTGTGAGGTGTGTATTCTTCCCCACATATGTTTCTTCTTACTCTCATGTTCACCTGGCCTGTGTCCAGTCAGACACGCCCTCATCCACCTCTCCAGACTGATCAGCTGCTCATAGCACACATGGTCTGTTGTTTTTGATGGCTGTTCGTAACAACCTTTTATTTCCATGTTACCAGGAATGTGTGACTGTGTGGTTGTCTGTAAACACTGCTCAGTTCAGTGCTGCTCACCACCACGTTAGGATGTTGCAGTAAAGGGCTAGTCACCACCAGAATAGGATGTACAGGCTGTCAATAACAGTCACATTATAATAATACTCCATAATGTTTCTACCATTGATTACACAGAAGAAAACATTAATAAAGTTTTTGAATATACAACAATACTACTACTCCTTATAATAATAATAATAATAATAATCATCATCATCATCATCATTGTTATTATGTTTTATATTAAAGTACTGTTATATTTATATTACTTTATTTTGGACAGACTGACAGCATATTGTTTTGGCACAGCAGTATTCTCTGTTGTCATCGCAGTCACCTGTTCACAGTCTGGCTGTCCTTGTCGTCCCAGTCTTCCTGTCTTCCTGTCCGTCACCATACAATGACTTTGGTCAGACAGTAAAAAATAAAGTGCCTTTGCCAAGGCCTAGCACTCACCACAGATTTGAATCACGGCAGCTTTAATAGAAATCTATTGTTTGGTTTTTGCTTCACTTCTGCAGCCATCAAATCAAAACAGCACAGGGCTGCGTTCTCATCATGAGGAGTTGCACTGAGAGTTATCTGTAAAAACACCAGCAACCACAAATCTGAAATCCATATGACAGCTTACCATCCTCTGAACCCGGTCCTGCGAGGTCCTTTTAGCGTCAGCCTCAGCAGCGGCTTCAGCAGCAGAGGTAAGAGGAGGAGGCTGGGAAAAGGAGGAGGGGGAGGAAGAGGAGGATGGCACAGGGATGGAGCTCACCCAGCTCCTCGACAGAATCAGAACCCAGTGTGACCATAACAGACTTCCCAGCCCAGGGGAGAGACACCATGACCTGCGGGCTGTCTCCGGTCTGCCTCAAGCTGTGCTCCGGCCTAGTCACCCAGGAGCTGCAGCATCATCAGCATCAGCATCCGCAGCAGCAGCAGCAGCAGCACACAGAGGAGCTCTCTGTGAGGTGTGTATTCTTCCCCACATATGTTTCTTCTTACTCTCATGTTCACCTGGCCTGTGTCCAGTCAGACACGCCCTCATCCACCTCTCCAGACTGATCAGCTGCTCATAGCACACATGGTCTGTTGTTTTTGATGGCTGTTCGTAACAACCTTTTATTTCCATGTTACCAGGAATGTGTGACTGTGTGGTTGTCTGTAAACACTGCTCAGTTCAGTGCTGCTCACCACCACGTTAGGATGTTGCAGTAAAGGGCTAGTCACCACCAGAATAGGATGTACAGGCTGTCAATAACAGTCACATTATAATAATACTCCATAATGTTTCTACCATTGATTACACAGAAGAAAACATTAATAAAGTTTTTGAATATACAACAATACTCTCTCTCCTTATAATAATAATAATAATAATAATCATCATCATCATCATCATTGTTATTATGTTTTATATTAAAGTACTGTTATATTTATATTACTTTATTTTGGACAGACTGACAGCATATTGTTTTGGCACAGCAGTATTCTCTGTTGTCATCGCAGTCACCTGTTCACAGTCTGGCTGTCCTTGTCGTCCCAGTCTTCCTGTCTTCCTGTCCGTCACCATACAATGACTTTGGTCAGACAGTAAAAAATAAAGTGCCTTTGCCAAGGCCTAGCACTCACCACAGATTTGAATCACGGCAGCTTTAATAGAAATCTATTGTTTGGTTTTTGCTTCACTTCTGCAGCCATCAAATCAAAACAGCACAGGGCTGCGTTCTCATCATGAGGAGTTGCACTGAGAGTTATCTGTAAAAACACCAGCAACCACAAATCTGAAATCCATATGACAGCTTACCATCCTCTGAACCCGGGGTACCTCAACATATGGTTTACAACCCTTAGGGTGTTGATTGAGGTACTCCAGTGAGGCCATGGATATTTTGGTTGACTCAGCTCTTTTTCAAATATATGAATATCTGAGCACTTTTGTTAGCTTATTGCAGGATGTAATAATGCCAGGTTAGTTTATATGTGGCAGTAGATCCACTCTAACAACACTCTTATGTCCAGGTGAAATAGAAAGATGGAGCCAACAGTTCTCCATCAGTCTGGAGTTCCTTTACCTGAAGAACTGTTGAAGACTCCTGTTGTAGACCCTCTCTAACCCCACATTATCACTGTCTTCTGAACCTTTCCGTTGACTCCTAGTGGAGTTCTTCTGTCACACACCACCCCTCCAGATAGCATGAGAATGTGGGCCGCTTGATACAGTGATGCTGCCAAGCCTTTAACCCAGACAGAATAAATAAGGCACAGGCCTCAGGTATCTGTTTTAGTATTTTATGTAGATACACAGAGAACATGTAGCTCCGCCCCCTCACCTCAGGGGACGGCTACAGTATTGTTTCACACATAAATCCTGTGACTCAACAAAACCTTTTCCCACGAGGGCGGTTAATACATGTTGCTTTGGACCAGAATAGAACTGTAGACCTGTAGGACTGTAGAACTATAGGACTGTAGGACTATAGTACTGTAGGACAGCTGGACACTTCTATTGGACTGTAGGACTATAGTACTGTAGGACAGCTGGACACTTCTATAGGACTGTAGGACTGTAGAACTATAGGACTGTAGGACTGTAGGACACTGCTGTAGGACTGTAGGACAATGCTGTAGGACTGTAGGACACTGCTGTAGGACTGTAGGACTATAGTACTGTAGGACAGCTGGACACTTCTATAGGACTGTAGGACTATAGTACTGTAGGACAGCTGGACACTTCTATAGGACTGTAGGACTGTAGGACACTGCTGTAGGACTGTAGGGCTTGTCTTCCGTACAAAGGTATCCAGGTATTATATATTGACAAACACTCTGACAGGAGTTAAGAGTCATGTGTTCTTAGGGAAGTACTCTGGTAGCTCAAAATAAAATAAAATGCAAAGAAGTTGTTTATTTATATACTTGTTTTTTTGCAGTCTATGATCCTGCTCCTAGTACTGGTGTGGGGTCTGGAGCTTGGGGACTTCTGATGTAGCCCCGAGCTGTGCTCTGTGTGGGGCTGTACACCTCAGAAACACAAAGGTTCCATAACCTGTGACCATTAGGCTTCTTTTCCACTGAAGTACAGTGTTGGTCAGTGTTGATCTAGAGTTCAGTATTGTTTCATCAGTAGATAGATGGACCAGAGACTGAGGGACTGGTCACTGTGTATGATTGACAGTTAGATTGCCCAATAGTCTCCCAGCAACACCGTGATGTCACCAACCTTCACCAACTATCTTCTCAGGCGTATTCTAAATAAAATCATCAGTGACATGATCTGATAACAGTAACTGAGGTGAATAGACTGAAGACTGAGGGGAGCACAGCAGCTGTGTGTGTGTGTGTGTGTGTGTGTGTTTTATGTACAGTCTGTGGTGATCAAACTGCTTATGGCTGTAGCCTCCACGTTACTTCTCCTACATTTACTGCAGTAAATCAGTAGGTGGCAGGTACTGCAGTAGTATATACCCAGATAATGACTTTTACAACTGTCACAATATTATCATAGCTGAGCTGAAATCTGCTGCTCTGCTGCATTTGAAGGAGGACTAAGGGTGTGTCGAGTCAGTAACAGCTTTACTGTGCGTCAGTGTGACATTCTGTTAGAAGCCACGCACACACACACACACACACACACACACAGGTGTATGTGTGTGTTTGCTGCTCTCTTTGTCTACAGAAACTCAAACAAACTTCTTAAGGCAACACGGACTTTTTGGCAGGTGGCCAGCAGCAGAAGCAAGAAGCACCGTGAAGAGTGTGTGTGTGTGTGTGTGTGTGTGTGTGTGAGAGAGAGAGAGAGCACAGTGTCATCAATTTGTGCTTCTCATCAGGGCGTGTCTCACTAATCTATTACATACATTTATCATCAGACCTGACAGCTCTACATGACAGTTGTGTTCCTGTGGAGACTGAATTGGCTCCCACACAGAACCACTAGAAACCACTAGTTTAATAGTGAACATAAGTGAAATTGTCTCATTCAGGACAGTTGTTGATCCACTTTTATTGCATGAGTTTATGACTCATACAGTTATTATATCGTTTTGGAAAAGCGTTGTTTCTTTGTTTACTTTCTGTATGACAGACAAAGCAGCAGATGTGCGAGTCATTCACTTCAGCTGACATATGTATTGGTCACATACAGAGTTGAGCAGCTTTTGTCCACAGTAATGGCTCTTATTGTCACCATACCATAAACCACAAATCCTTAAAAACCTCAAACACCGCCCCGTCTGAGTCTAATGGTTTTCTCTATCTCACCAGGAGGAGGCTGCATGGGCTCAGATGAGCCTCAGTGGCGCCGCCCTGCGAGAGGCGAGGGCCGAGCTGGTGGAGGCCAGACAACAGTGGCACTCCCTAGAGGTGGAGATTGAAACGCTGCATGCTTTGGTAAGGAAACACCAGGATCCATGAGCAGACTGTACGACAACCACAGACAGTGACACTGACCAGGGAGTTAACCTCGATTATGTTAAATGAGTTTGTTATTTTCATGTCCTACACAAAAGGTGTGTGTATAGGCCAGCTGTACCGCAGTGAAGATTTTGTCCCTCAGTATTAAGAGACTGAAGTAACTCTTTGGCTGAGAGTTGATGACCATCCCTACAGAACAATGAGTGTGAAAAAAAACAATAGAGAATCTTTAACAGGAAATCTTGCAAATGTGAAAGGAATGATTAAAAATAAATATGAAAATATAAATCCTTTCAGGCAGTAGTGAGGCCTGCTGAAAATCATCTCATTGGGTCATGTATCACACGTGCCACTGTCTGCTAATAACCCATTCTTCTGTCCTTGCCCTGCAGGAAAAGGGCCTGGAGAGCTCCCTTCAGCAGACCCAGAGGATGTACTCCGACCAACTGCAGGACCTCTCCCAGGTGATCCAGGGTCTGGAGAGCGAGCTGGAGCAAGTGAGGGGTGGACTGGCCACGCAGCGCCAGCGCCACAGTCAGCTGCTCAACACCAAGATGAGACTGGAGAGAGAGATCACCACCTACAGACGACTGCTGGAGCGGGAAGAGGGCAGGTGAGGACACAAACAGACGAACAGAAAAAAAAAAAAGGAAATGAAAAATAAAGTCAGGAAGCAGGTTTCACTTGGATTCAATGTCATCCTGGGAAATTCACTTTCATTTCCTGCAACACTAAAGTCATAACATTTCTGCAGAATTTGGACAAATGCCTTTTAACACAATAACCCAAAACAAGAGACAAATAATACAATGATTGCATCAGTGAGACATTTTGACCTCAGTTGTTGACGCCACACAGTCAGACTAAACACCAGCGAACCTTAAATCATTTCCTTTATTTATCTGCCAGAGCCTTAGTTTCACGTAAGTGAGTTTTCAGTTTGGTTAAATCTTCCTATTCTGTTGTGGATCACTGACACTTGGTCTGTGTACACACAGTTCACATCCACAGTAAGTACAGGCTGAGACAGATTAATTCTGTGAGTACACCCAACGCAGAGTACAACACATGAGTCGTACTTACAGTGGCTTAACGTTAACCACATGCTTTACTACTCCTGTACTAGGACACGTCTCGCTTCACATGACATCAAATACAAGTTTGTAGTTAACAACTGTCTGTTGTCGTTTGAACACTGCTGTGACGGCAGAGTAGAAATAAAGATTTCAGTAGAAACTGCAGTAGAAATGTACAGACTAACTATTGTTAGTCATATATGTTTTTTTTATGTTTTTATGTTTATGTTTTCATTATTAACGAACATTAATGTACCGTACCATACCGTACCGGACCAGACCACACATCAGAATACAAAAAGATGCCAAACAATGTTCTAGTTAAGGCTAGAATAGAAAAAACTAGACTAAATGTTTATTTTTACTTTTACATTTTTACCTTATCTTTGGCTCCTGTTGATCCACGTGTGTTTGTTACCTGTAACTTTCTCTGCAACATGGTTCACACTGGGACCAGAGCCTTAGCCAACGGCGTGAGTTGAGAAACTACAGCTGAAACAGTGGGGCACGAGAACCAGAACAAAAAGGTTGTGCAGTAGCTAGTGTTTGATCAGTGTAATCTCCCAGTCAGGGAATCACTGGTCAAACGACTGTCTGACAGTCCAACTTTGACAGATTACATTGAGTTTCGTCCATGACTCAATCACTTCAATTCATGGATTTATTTCTCGTTGTCAGTGATGTGTCAATTACACAAAATGCTGCTCAGACACCATTGGCACAGAGAAGCCGTAATAAAGCGCCCTAATCCACATCGATGACATGTTCAACAAAAAGAGGTTTGCTCGCTTTGTTGATCTTTTGAGTCAAAGGCTTGAAAATAAAATGTGAGTGGGATTATTTGATATAAAGTAATTTGTATTTTACTTTCTATTCTTTTTCTGGTTTGTTCTTCAGTGAGCAAATGTCTGTGGCCACACCTTGTTTTTACCCTGATGCACAGGTGATTAAAAATTCAATCTTCAGCAGTAGATTTTCTTTCTTTGGAACAAGGTTAAAAGCTGAATGTTGATGTCTTTATGTTCACCTTCTTAATTTTAGTTCAGTCTTCGCAGTAAGATTTTTGTTTTCTTGAAATGAGTCTTTGTGCTTCAGAGACTTGTTCTTTTCATGTCCTGTGTTCACTGGTCTCAGCACATGGACTCAGTTTGTCAGAAATAGGTATTTTTCACTCAAATGTTTCTCTATTTACATTTCATTGAATTCACAACTGAATGATTATTCAAAATATTTTTATATTAATATATTATATTAATATTATATTAATATCGATTTGCTAAGTTTTTAAGCAAATCGAAAAGTTAGTGGCATGCAAAGAATCTGATGAACGGTATCTCCAGGTCACTCCACGGAGAAAAAAAAAACTGATCAAAGATCAGACTCTAGGAAAGTCACTTTAGTTCAACGCCCAAATACTGTTGTGTCTTCATCTGTTTGACCAAGTCTGATGAGACTTCTAAACCATAAGGAAGATTCATTCTCTTTTTAATGTAACGATAAATAAGTTGGACACATTTTCCAGGTTCTTGTGTAAAATGCTGTGTCTCTTTACTAAGTTCTAGTCATGGTCCCTTCTGTCTGTGCACTGGTGGATTGCGTGCCAGTGTGTCCAATCTTTGACAGCATCTGTCTGTCTGTCTGTCTGGTGTCCTCTCTGACATGTCTCAGCCAGCATAATTGACGTCGGATGGTTATTATGGCAATACTCAATACGCTGTTTGTTGGTTTTAGTAAATGTCACTAATCCTGTGGGTGTGTCCTCCACAGATCATCTGATGCAGCTGTCTGTCAAAGCTGTGGGTGGTACAAATCCACCGTGGACAACCAGTTTCGTTCTAGAGATTATTGCTCACAAAAGACCATGATTTTCGACTCTGTCATTGCTTAATGTTTGGTTTCATGGAGGATCAATGATCAGGGACTCATTACTGTAGCAAAATCATATATGTTTCAATAATAGGAGGGGGGGAGGAAGTGAAAGACTTAAGCATTTACTCTTCACAGCGACATCTGAGAGAGTGATTCACCAGGGCTGGTACTGTCGGCCTGTACTGGCCTGCGGTGTAATTATATTTGGCCCGTGAGATCGTATCAAAGGTGTACTAGAGTTGGCCCGCCGGTATGTAGCCCCTATACACCAGAAGAATTTGTAGCATAAGTGGTGTATGCATATTTTGGGTTTTTTTTGTTTTGTTATTGGCTTGTGAAAAAACAATTGACATTAAAAAGAACTTGAAAGGCTACAGATAAACAGACAATAAGAAACAAATCCTACTGATGTGTGTTATACTTCAAATTTAGTTTCTCATGTGTTTATAATATTAAGCTTTGGCTTTTCCTGATTCAGTGTTTACACAAAATTAAATTTTGTTTCCATATGAACAAATTCTACATTACATATCTGGAGAGAAGGTAAAACATGAACAATGCCATCAATTTTTCAATAAATATTAACTTTGGCCTGCGACTCTGTCCCAGTTTTAAACTTTGGCCCACTGTGAATTTGACTTTGACACCCCTGCTGTAAAGAGTCTCAGGGCATTGATATTGGTCTAATGGAAGGACATTGTTGTTTGCTGTGTTTTCTGTTTGCAGGTACATGAGTCATGATGGGCATCTCCGACCCTGGAAGTTATCTGTGGCAGAGCAGAAGGAGGTGAGTCTGGAGAACGGCTTCAGTGACCCCGCTGTGACCCCAGATGAACCTAAGTCTGAGCCTCTGCCTGAAATCCCTTCACTGCTGCCTGTAGAGACTGACCTGAAGAGGGGGAGACTGCGGAGGCAGCAGAGTCTGGTCATCCTCACAGGTAACACATACTGGGGTTTATACTAATATGTGACGAACACGTATTTGACACCAGTCATAGTCCATGGAGCCCTATTAGCTTTAGCAAATCTGAAGCTAATCTGTTGCTATCTTTGGCTAATCTATTTTCAATCTGCTCTCAGTTTTATTGTCAAACATGTTTCATTGTTCTGGCTGAAAAACTTTAAGTTTTTTTCAGCAAATCTTCTGTTGTGTTGTTTATTTAGATTTTGTTTTTTTAATTTCTGGAAGGTAACAGTCAAACACATTTGAATGACGTCACCTGTGGCCAAACCAGGCCGAAGTTTGGTGTTTTATATAAGACTAGCTGGACGTTTCTTTTTCAAGGGTACCAGATGTGTGTGACTGCTGCTGTCTGAGCCTGTTCACTGCTGCCAGGTAATATTTGTCCAAACTGTCCTCATACAGAGCCAGAGACCGATAAAGACCTGCCGATCTCCACGGTGAAGACTCAGGAGATTCTTCAGGGCAACGTGGTGCAGGAGAGTGCAGAAGGTCATGGCACCATCGAGTAAGTACTGATGACTGTCCTAGTGTACAGGCTGCAGCATTCACACAGAGGTGCAGACAGATTTGGCAAAAATCAGTTTACACATTGTTTACATAATAATGTTTATTATGACCTTTAATGTAAAAGAATGTGGAAGGAAAACAGTGCTCCTGCCTTACAACAAGACAAATCACTAGATTCAACCTCTGGTCTGTCTGTCCATTTGTCCCACTGCCTGTCAGTCTGCCTGATTATCTGTCTGTCTGTATTGGGCTTTCCTTCAACCAGATAAAATAACAAATAACACCTGAGGTTAACATGATTAGAGTAATGATTATATTAGAATGACTGACTCATCACTGGTCCGTCTGAGGACCTCTACAACCACACTGACCACACTGACCAAACCAACCACATCAGACTGAGTATTTACCTCTCGTGCCTGTACCATTACTCGCTCTGTAGTAGAGTAATGTACTGCAGTATTTCTGTGATGCTGCAGTACATTGTACCACTGGCTGATAAACACCGTAGCCATAGCAGACAAATATTACACATCACAGCTGGCTCCCATTAAGACGCTAAAGTTCAGTGGAACAAGAACAACACCTTGGATTTTCACCGCAGCGCCTCCTGCTGACTATTGTTGCATGTGTCTGCACCGTGTGGCTTCTTTAAAGTAACACAATCACCTTTGCTTTGTGTGTGTTTTCTCTCTGGTCAGAACCGAGAAGGTAGATAAGGTGATCAAGCAGTGGGAGGGTTCCTTCTTCAGAGGGAACCCTAAGCTGAGGAAGAAGTCCGTGTCGCTGCGCTTCGACCTGCACATGGCTGCCGCCGACGAGGGCTGTGCCCAGACTAAACAGGACAGCCTCCCTGATGTGGAGGTGCGTCTCATCATGAAGAGGTCTCGCAGCATCCCGGCCATCACGCCGTGATCACTGTCGGTCAGAGTTAACCCTGTTTTTGCAGCGGTTTGTGTTGCAATCAACATCTGTGTCTCACTGATCATCTGGGACGACAACGTCATCCTGCTTGACTTAAAAAAAAAAAAAAATCACAGCTTTCTCTGCACGTTGCATTTGATGACCGAAACAGAGATTTCTCTCATCGTAGGGTCCTATATATATATATTAAAAAAAGTATTTTCTTCTTAGATCATCACTCCGCCACCACAGCTCCCATTTTATATTTTTACTCATAGTTTCATAGAAGATAAAAAAAAAATCAAACAAGTACAGAGAATAAGTAAATAAGTACAAGTACAGACTTGTATCATGTGCCATATGTTGAGCCAATGACAGCTCTTGGTTTGAATAAAGAAACTATTTATTTAGTGAAATGATCAGTACTATGCAGAAAGATATTTTCATTATTGAGTAACTTTACACTGAATCTATTTTTGCTGAGTCAGTCACTTTACTACACTGCAGCTGCTTCTTCCACTTTTAATGATCGGCGGAGGGTTTTATTTTTCACTGATGATTCACTTCATCCTTCATCCGTTACTGTTAATACAGATGTTAAATATGAACAAAGTGGATTTTTAGCAGTAGATGTAGAGATGTTTTCTCTGCCTATAGGTCATAGTCTCTAAATAAAGGCATAGTTTAGGTTGGTTTTTTTTGTTTGTTTGTTTGTTTGTTTGTTTTTTGAAGTGCGGCTGTAGAAGTGTGGTCAAACTGTCACACAAGCTCAATGATGGAGAAAGCAATGAGTTAACGTCACAATTGTGCACTGAGTTGAAATGTTAGCAATTTCCTATGAATCGTGTTATGAGGCATAAGTCCATTTATATGAAAGTTGAAGACAGCTTTATATAACCACACTTCTAAAATGTGAATAATTGCCAAACTGACAAAGAGTTACTGATGAAATGGTTGGATAGAGTGACACCACTAGAAATGAACAAACACTGTTTTTACTTTCCATTTTCACACAGTTGCTAAATGTTTACACTGCTCTCCATCCATTAAAAAAAACAACTTAAACTTAATATTAAAAACTTACAAGAATCGACGCAGTTATTTCACAAAAATCTTTGATTTTGCTTAAGGGTCTTTGCAGCCCATTCTGTATATACAGAAAGAAAAAATAATAATAAAGACAACCAACGACTTATTTCAGAGTGTAGCCACATTTTAAAATGCTGCTGTTTCTTGGAATCACAGTCTCTGACTTCACCAGAGGGGGGCGACAATAATAACTATTTCATACAGCAGTTTCACTCAAACCCCCCGACACGAGTTTTGCAACGTTTGCTCTGTTAGAACTTGATATTCGAGTGTGTTCTTTTTATTTTATTTTAGTTTTGTTTTGTATGCTAAATCCACACCACAGACTGCGGATAAGACATGGACTGCTACGCGTTGTGTTTGGGTGCCTCAGAAAGTGTTGAGAATATTGAAAAAAAACATAAACCTATGCAGTTCTATATTTGCTCAAGTTTGATTTGCTTCGTAAATCACAATTAATTTCAGTAGTAACCTCGAAATAAAAAACGCTTTAATCTAATAATGTAGCATTTAAAATAAAAAACAATAAATAAAGATTATGTACACGAGTGCGTTTGTTTTTTTGTCTCTTAGTTGTGACTAAAATGTTGACTCGCAAAAGCAATATTCCCGTAACCATATAAAGAGCCACATATTAGCCACACATAAATCTAAACGTGCCATAAAATGTTTTCACCTAATAATGTCTATTCTAATTAATACAAGAATGGCTAAAAAGTACCACGTAAAAAATATGGTAACAAAGAGAAAGTAAAGGTCACTATTTTATGTAACACTCCCTTTTTAACATAATTGCAGAGGCAGTTTCTAAGGCTGGTGCAGAAGAGGTAGGCAACACTTTGGCTCTGTCCAGCACAACCGTGTACACCTTGATTTTAAGTCACGTAGCTGCCTCCATCTCTGAAAAATGTTTCCCATATTGAACCTTTGCATTGTCGGTACAGGCAGTTTATCCTTCGTCGCTAACAGCTGTTTAGCAGCAGCATGAGTGAGTAGAGGGGGTGGTTCACAGCGTGTGTGTGAGTAACATTTTGGACACGTCCGAGTCATCCTCCGAGTACGACGACTTTTTTCACCATGGTGTATTCGCCGCTCACTGACTTCACTAAACTAAACTGTCATCATTCACCACCTCTCATCCGCGTAAGCGACACAGCCTGACTCTGCAACAGTGACGTTGTCTGTTTTGACGGAACTAGTCAGGTGTTTCTCTGCTTTTCAAAATAAAACGATGTAAATAGTTATTCCACGGTTTCAGCTCCGCCCGTCCCAGTTAGTATATAAAAAATGTTTGTTATTTTCACCTGTCAGACACATTTTTTACAGGTGTAGCCTACGCGTTGCAGGACTCGGTGTGACAATTTCCGAATCAGCAATTTTTTTTCAGTTGCAGTCAAACGTCACACTCCGGAGATCCGGCACGGTGCCGTAGTACTTTAAGCACTGTTATTTCTCTGGTGTAATATGTTATTGATTTAGTTTACTCGTGTTTGGATCCTGTAGGTATCCGTACTGTAATACTGCTAAAAGACAGGCTCTGAAACCAGGCAGCGACTGACAGGACAGTGTTTCCGCAGACATAGGACCACATAAGCATGGATCTTGTCAGCAAACCCAGGAGCAAATCTACTGTGTGGCTTTATTTTGGCTTCAAAGCGGACGAAAATGGTCAGCCGCTAAACTCTGTTGAGGCCATTTGTCGCTTGTGCAGAAAAATAGTGCTCGCCAAAGGTGGAAACACCACGAATTTAAGGAGCCATCTTAGACGTCGACACCGTGCAGATTTCTTCGACCCCTCTTCTTCCTCGACCCTGGGATCGCTGTTTGAACCTACATGTGAGCTAACATGAGAATCCAGGATAATCTGAGTGTAATGGCAATGGCTGTTACCGTTATCATTACATTAATTTCCTCCTAACGTCATAAAATGCAATTGATGTGTCATAAAGGCAGATTATCACCTTCCGAGACTAAAGGGGTGATCATGCATAAAATACCGCGGTTGTAAAACACACTGGTTTGGTTCAACTGTGCAGAATAAAAACATAATGTAGTAGTTATACAGTCCGATATTCATTACTGTATGTGTTTCCTGCTCCCAGAGGGTGATTAACATAGGGGTCATATGTAAAATTGACGTCCAGTTCGTCCTAATGTTTTGTGCGACCAACACCCAGACCACTATCAGAATTTGTCACATCTGTACAGTTCTCCAGATAACAACAAGAGGGTGCTGTGACACGGTGACACCTGCACTTATTTGAGGCGAAACATGGCAGGCCTGCCTTAAATCAACCTAAAGTGACGAAAATCTTTTGCATAAACCTCAGAACTTTCATTGCTCAATTCTCTATATTCGTTATAAGAGAAACAAAGCTCAGGGAATGTCCTCACACCGCTTTTGACTACCTAGGGAAAGTTGTACCCTATGTTTTCATCTTGAGCAATTTGTCAAGTCAACACATTAGCATTGGAATTATATTTCTAGATTATTGGAACATGGTGAGTTTAAGAGACCGAACCTCGACCTGACTGTTGTGAAATGTTAACGTACAGTTGACTTAAAATGGTATTTTAAAAAAAGACGTGTTTCCACCTAGTAGTATTTTATATTTTTTGTGGAATTTGCCACAACCAAAAATCACCCTTTTTATAATGGCCCAATAGATATTTTAATATAACAAAAGAGAATGGGTTGTATATAATTACACATAACTCAAATAGCAAATAGTTATTAGTAATTATATAAAAATGCATACGTGTCACGCTGTACGACCATGGCGACCAGGTCAAAGTTTCGAAAGTTTGGGACCACGCTGCCTAATTGAACGCATATTTCGTCATATGTAACATACAGTTTGCAGAACAGTTCTTTCAAAGGCGGGACCACAAGGAACTTGATAAAACATACAGAAATACGCACAATTGATGACCCAGTATCGTCCAGGTGGGTGTGTTTGCTCATCGATTTAATACAGGTGTGCTGTTGCGTAGGAACAGTATACGTCGTTAGAACAACATGCCACTCACTCTGACGGCTACATTTATCCCTTCAGGATAAAAAAAACTTTGATACATTCTCCAGCTGCCCACTAAATATTCACATTTAACAGAAATGTATTTAAAAGTCACATAAACAAACTAGCTAATCAACAAAAAGAGAAGTGATTATTTGACACGTTTGATTGGTTAAGGCACAGGGAAGCGTCATCAGTTACCTCGCGTCTTTTCTCCCATCACGTTTTATTATTCAAATATGTTAATATTAATATGTTATATTCATTTATTGGCTAGAAAATTTGTATTATTTCACTTTTTGGTGATCAATTTCAGATATTTTTTCATTTTTCTGCATGTCTTCGATATTCAAAATATATCCAATATTAAATGAATATTTTAGGGGGATTATTTCTATAGTATTATGGAGAGTACTGAAATAACCTGCCTATTATTTACACATTTGA